GAATGTATAAAGAGAGGAATTCTAAGCCTATAGGAGCATAACCAAGGGGCTGGTCCAAGGTCAGCCCGAGCTAAAGCTGCAAATGGGACAGAGACCAGCGTTAATACAAGTTGAACACTGTGTACTAACAGAGGATTCCACATCAAACCAGCGCCAACACTGCCTTCGCCACCTCAGACCGCCAATACGACCGCGTTCACCACCTCAGACTGCCAAAACCACCGCGTTCACCACCTCAAACCACCACTCAGGTGGTCAACTTGGTGATTTTGGCCGTTTTGGCGCTGGTTTGATGTGGAATCCTCTGTTAATATAAGTTGAACACCGTGTACCAACGCTGGTCTCTGTCCCCTTTGCAGCTTTAGCTCGGGCTGACCTTGGACCAGCCCCTAGTTTATGCTCCTAGACTTCCTCTCAATGTATACATTCATTAATGCATATCACTAACTCACCGTTAGTGACTTGAATTTTCCAAATGTACAATCCTAGGACTTTACATTGGAGACGCGGGTGCCCAAATGGAGAGACAGAAAATTACCCTTACTTTTGCCCCTGAGTGCACAAAAAATATGCCAGGGTGGTCTACACAGCCAAAACCACCGCGTTCACCACCTCCAACACAGCCGCCTTCACCACCTCAAAACAACGGTGTTCACCACCTCAAACACAACCGCCTTCACCACCTCAAACGACAGCCAAAACTACCACGTTCAATGCTTCAAAAAGTGCGCTCAAATCAATCAAACATCAACTTTTTGTAGAAAAAGAAAACACTGCAATTCCTGCAAAGACAATAAAAATGACAACGTTGACTTGCATGAAAATGAAGGATCCATGATGGTGTCGGAAAGTTTCCCTGTTACTCCAAAGACGTTACGATGGGCTTCGAGCAGGACCACGGCAACAGGCTCTGTCACGGTTCATCATCCAGACCCATCTTGTAATACTGCAAACCTGCAAGAGGAGGGACACAAAAACTCCAGGGCGCAATGCCCCAGGGGTTGAGTTAGTGATATGCATTAATGAATGTATAAAGAGAGGAAGTCTAAGCCTAAGCCTATAGGAGCATAACCAAGGGGCTGGTCCAAGGTCAGCCCGAGCTAAAGCTGCAAAGGGGACAGAGACCAGCGTTAATACAAGTTGAACACTGTGTACTAACAGAGGATTCCACATCAAACTCAAATGACCGCGAACACAGCCGCCTTCACCACCTCAAACCACCGCCAAAACACCGGTGTTCACCACCTCAAACACAACCGCCTTCACCACCGCCAAAACAACGGTGTTCACCACCGCAAACACAACCGCCTTCGCCACCTCAGACCGCCAAAACCACCGCGTTCACCACCTCAGACCGCCAAAACCACCGCGTTCACCACCTCAAACTACCGCCAAAACAACGGTGTTCACCACCTCAAACACAACCGCCTTCACCGCCTCAAACACAACCGCCTTCACCGCCTCAAACACAACCGCCTTCACCGCCTCAAACGACAACCAAAACTACCACGTTCAATGCTTCAAACAGTGCGTTAAAATCAATCAAACATCAACTTTTTGTAGGAAAAACACTGCAATTCCTTTAAAGACAATTAAAATGACAAAGTTGACTTACATGAAAATGAAGGCTCCATGATGGTGTCGGAAAGTTTCCCTGTTACTCCAAAGACGTTACTATGGGGTTCGAGCAGGACCACGGCAACAGGCTCTGTCAGGGTGCATGATCCAGACCCATCCTGTAATACTGCAAACCTGCAAGATGAGGGACACAAAACCTCCGGGGAGCGATGCCCCGGGGGTTGAGTTGGTGATATGCATTAATGAATGTATAAAGAGAGGAAGTCTAAGCCTATAGGAGCATAACCAAGGGGCTGGTCCAAGGACACCCCGAGCTAAAGCTGCAAATTGGACAGAGACCAGCGTTAATACAAGTTGAACACTGTGTACTAACAGAGGATTCCACATCAAACCAGCGCCAAAACTGCCTTCGCCACCTCAGCCCGCCAATACGACCACGTTCACCACCTCAAACGACCTCAAACACAACCGCCTTCACCACCTCAAACGACCGCAAACACAACCGCCTTCACCACCTCATACGACAACCAAAACGACCACGTTCAATGCTTCAAACAGTGCGTTAAAATCAATCAAACATCTTTTTGTAGGAAAAAAACACTGTAATTCCTGCAAAGACAATTAAAATGACAAAGTTGACTTACATGCAAATGAAGGCTCCATGATGGTGTCGGAAAGTTTCCCTGTTACTCCAAAGACGTTACGATGGGCTTCGAGCAGGACCACGGCAACAGGCTCTGTCACGGTTCATGATCCAGACCCATCCTGTAATACTGCAAGAGGAGGGACACAAAACCTCCGGGGAGAGATGCCCCGTGTTGAGTTGGTGATATGCATTAATGAATGTATAATAGAGAGGAAGTCTAAGCCTATAGGAGCATAACCAAGGGGCTGGTCCAAGGTCAGCCTGAGCTAAAGCTGCAAAGTGGACAGAGACCAGCGTTAATACAAGTTGAACACTGTGTACTAACAGAGGATTCCACATCAAACCAGCGCCAAAACTGCCTTCGCCACCTCAGACCGCCAAAACAACGGTGTTCACCACCTCAAACACAACCGCCTTCACCACCTCAGACCGCCAAAACAACCACGTTCACCACCTCACACCGCCAAAACTACCGCGTTCACCACCTCAAAGGTCAACAAATGACAGCACTAACCACCCTCAAAAAACTGACCAAACAACCTCAAATGACAGCATTTACAACCTCAAACGAGAAGGTTAAAATCAACTTCGAAGACAAACACTGCAATTCCTACAAACACAATACAAATTTAAAAGTCAACTTACATGACCATGAAGGATCCAGGATGATGTCAGGTTTCCCGGTTACGGCAAAGACAGTAAGCTGGGCTTCAATCGGGACCTCGGCAACAGGCCCAGTCACAGTTTATGACCTTTAATACGGAAACCTGTAAGAGTACAGACACAAAAACTCCAGGGGGTGATGCCCGGGAACAGAGCTAGTAATATGCATTAATGAATATTCACAGATCTTGGAGAGGAAGTCTACGCCTACAGCAGCCCACCTAGGGGCTGGTCCAAGGTCAAACTGAGCTAAAACTGAAGAGGGACAGAGACAAGAGTTATGAAAATTGTATACTGTCAAAACTGCATTTTACAAGAAAAACCATTGCCCAAACAGCGTTCACCTCGAACAACCGCGTTTACTACCTAAAAAACCAACCATGTTTTCTACCTCAAATGACTGCGTCAATCCCATTTAACACCACAAAATACCGACCAAACAGCATAACCCACCTCAATAGACCGACCAAACCACCTCAATAGACCGACCAAAGACTCTCAAAAGGCCGACCAAAACCACTCAAATGAACGCATTTACTACCACAAACCAGTGGGTTAAAATCAATTAAGCATCAACTTCATAGAAAACTGCAATTCCTACAAACATGATATTAATGACAAAGGCAACTTACATGACAAGGAAGGATTGAGGGTGGCGTCAAGTTTCCCAGTTAACAGCTATGAACTTCACTAAAAACCACTTTAAAACAAAGTGAAACAAAAATCCATGTTGGTTCTTAAACAGTATGAACAACTGGCAAATGCTAAGCTAAGCATTGAATGATAAATTAAACAGCAGCAGGTGAACCTAAAACCTGTGGGGGGTAAAACAATTCACCATGCTGCACACAAACAATTCACTTGAATGTTTTGGACCTATTCACCACAGCAGGTGTGGGTAATTAACACATCACAAACATGAGAAAGCAGAAAGTCAGTGTTGAGCCTGAGGAAAACTTGTGCAACAAAGTAAACTGCCTACCTGTACCACCAACCATGACTCAGCAAAGAGGGAACAAAGGCCCACAGGTGCCTTTTATAGCAGGGCCTGATTGGGGGAGGAGTCTGGAGCTGCATTCAACAACACTGCCCTCTTGTGGAGCGTTACCCACCAGTGTGAAGGTGTTATCATTGTGTACTTCCTGCCTAAACGTGCGTGAGGTGATTTGCTTGACAGTTTATGTTTGAATGTTGACATGCAGAGGTCAAGGCCAATTCAAAGTTCATTTGGGATTCATATAAGGACATTTTGAGTACAGACACTGGAGTACAAAAGGCTTTATTATCAGAATATTTTATACTGTATTTAGATTTGCTCATGTACCTATGTTAACGTTGTGTTGGTCATAGTGTTCCATAACTGAGACCCCTGAGGCCTGTACCCGAAGCAGGGTTTGTTGTTAAGGTAACTTCAGGATTAACTCCAATTCCAAACCACACCCTACCCATTCCCCCTCCTGATGGAGTGGGCTCCGTCTGTAGTCTCACTCCCAGGTGGAGGTGTAAATACAGCAGGAGGATTTGGGACGAACTCCCGTCTCTCCAGCTGAAACAGGACATGCCATAATACGTAACAACGGTTTCAAATCAGCATCTCTTGGATTAAAAATAACAAAAATATAACTCTAAAAATCTTTTGTGCGGTCCTACGGCGCTGGTTCTCTTCTCACCGGGGTAGATCTCCATGGTAACTAATGCTGAACACCTGAGCTGCTCCAGGTAATGTTCCAGAGATCAGCTCAGTGAAAGCAGGTGAGACGGTGATGTTTAACAGAACATGTGAGATCATCTGAACTGATACAGTTGACAGTGTGGAAAGACAAATTAAAATTAAGAACATTATTTTTACAGTTTCATTTAATCCAGTTAAAACAGCCCTTTCAGGCGATGCTAGTTTAGAGTGGTTACCAACAGCAGCCATTAGTTAATGTGAGCTCTGAAGACCACCGTCTGTACATCTGCATGACGACACCATAGAGAACAGCATGTGGGTGAAAATTCTCCTTTACAAGTCTTAGATTTGATTATTTCATGGTTGCACTCTGATCACTGTACCTGAACACACTAATAATACTGACTTTGATCAAGTTGAAAACACGAGGACTGTCAGCCGTTCTTTAGAATGTTTTTTATTGGACTTCAAAGCTGCTAAAACTTAGAAGAGCTGTTAACAAACACTTTCACATAGGTTTGATATTAGAAAACACACCTGCAGTCAGGAGAAGGGGTACACCATGTCCTCACAGTCAGACATGTGTTGATGAAATGACACATTTAAAACGGTCAGATTAATATCAGAATACAAACACATCGTCTTCAGTCCCTGCTGATCAGGGTGACTACATTTCATCCTCTCTCAATAGATAACGCCCTGGGTCTCTTCTGTTCCAGTAACACTGAAGGAAGGAGTTCATTAGGGTTAGTGAGACCCTCCAGTAGACCCTCAGTTTAAGGGTTGGTTAGACCCCTCCAGTAGACCCTCATTTTAAGGGTTAGTGAGACCCTCCTGTAGACCCTGAGTTTAAGGGTTAGTGAGACCCTCCTGTAGACCCTCAGTTTAAGGGTTAGTTAGACCCTCCTGTAGACCCTCAGTTTAAGGGTGAGGGTCTGCAGGGTTTAAACCCTACAGTCGGTCCCATCTTTCACTCTGTTTCCATTCAAATCAAATTAATTTCAGAGTAAAATCTGCTGATTGGTTGAAGTCGTCCTGATTGGTTGGAGTTTTCTGATTGGTTGAAGTCGTCCTGATTGGTTGGAGTTTTCTGATTGGTTGAAGTCGTCCTGATTGGTTGGAGTTTTCTGATTGGTTGAAGCCGTCCTGAGGAAACAGGAAGTTCTGAAGTGACGGAGGATTCTGATTGGCCGCTCAGGCCTCCAGCTGCCACTGCTGATCCTCTGAGGCGTCGCAGATCGCCATGGTAATGGAACCCTTGGAAACAGAACCCTTCGGCCTGATTGGTCGAGAGACGGAGAGACACTGACCAACGGAAACCTGGTACAGCCGGTTGGACTTCTGGGGAGGGATTCAATTAAATGTGAGTGTGTGTGTGTGTGTGTGTGTGTGTGTGTGTGTGTGTGTGTGTGTGTGTGTGTGTGTGTGTGTGTGTGTGTGTGTGTGTGTGTGTGTGTGTGTGTCTCACCCCCAGGCTCCACTGCTGAGACCCCCCCGAGCCGTGGCACTTCATCAGGCGGGGGGGGTCCAGGGTCCGGACCTCAGAGACGTCGAAACACAAGAGAGAGGCGAGAAGCAGCTGGCCGTCCTCATCGTACGACCACACCTACAGATACACATAAATATACAGATATACACATTATATACATTTACTGTATACAGTGTGCACTACATCATATATATTTTGCTCTACTATCACTCACAGCACCAATAAGCGAGAGTGGGTGTGTGGGTGTGTGTGTGTGTGTGTGTGTGTGTGTGTCACCTGCTCGGGGTCTCGGGGGTCACATGTCCTCAGCACCACGCCCCCCCCCCTTCTGACTCGCGCGGCCCAGGGCCCCCAAACACCCCCCCGACGAGAGTGAGCGCAACTGAAACAGGAATTGAGACAACAGGAAGTAGAGAGTGAGATAACGATGATGCGTGGTGCGTTCAGTGACTGATGATGCGTGGTGCGTTCAGTGCGTGATGATGCGTGGTGTGTTCAGTGACTGCAGGACTTTGTATACATTGTGTGATGATGCGTGGTGCGTTCAGTGACTGATGATGCGTGGTGCGTTCAGTGCGTGATGATGCGTGGTGCGTTCAGTGACTGCAGGACTTTGTATACATTGTGTGATGATGCGTGGTGCGTTCAGTGACTGATGATGCGTGGTGCGTCCAGGGTCTGATGATGCGTGGTGCGTTCAGTGCGTGGTGCGTTCAGTAACTGCAGGACTTTGTATACATTGTGTGATGATGCGTGGTGCGTTCAGGGTCTGATGATGCGTGGTGCGTTCAGGGTCTGATGATGCGTGGTGCGTTCAGTGTGTGATGATTCGTGGTGCGTTCAGTGACTGCAGGACTTTGTATACAGTGTGTGATGGTGCGTGGTGCGTTCAGGGTCTGATGATGCGTGGTGCGGTCAGTACCCGTCCTCGCTGCAGGACTTTGGGCCTCCTCAGGCTCTTGTTGTTGAACACAGGCAGGTGTTTGTTTCCGTGCGTTTGCATCTCGGGGTAAACGGTGTCCAGGTACCAGCGGAACGTCCTACACTGCAGACGCTCCCTCAACGCAACACGATCACTGACGTCTCCGTAACCACGGTCACGCAGCTCCGGACGCAGAGACAGGAACTGCTCCTGATTGGACCACAGACAGGAAGTGAGGTCAGAGGACTGCAAACAGGAAGTGAGGTCAGAGGACTACAAACAAGTTACCACTGACAATTAGACGTGTGTGTGTGTGTGTGTGTGTGTGTGTGTGTGTGTGTGTCTGTGTTTGTGTGAGAGTATGTGTGTGTGTGTGTGTGTGTGTGTGTGTGTGTGTGTGTGTGTGTGTGTGTGTGTGTGAGTGTGTGTCTGTGTGAGTGTGTGTGTGTGAGTGTGTACCTTGTACTCATCCATCCACACATGAGCCAGTCTTAGTGAGTTGTGGGCCATGGTATCCCCCCCACCCGGGGATCCGTAGGGTCTCCTCTTCCTGAAGATGTGTCCGATTCTGGAGCAGGGGATGATCAATAACTGACCGCCACACATCCAGATCTATAGAGATAGATCATTATTATTATTATTATTATTATATATATATATATATAAAATATAATGTGGTGCCTTCACTGACAGTCTGTGAATCTGAGCCTCACCCTGAAGGAGATCTCCAGGTTCTCCCCGCCCCAGATGTCCATGCCCGCGTCGTATTGGCCGAGCTCGTTAAAGTACTTCCTGTTTATGGCAAACAGACCGCCGGCCATGGTGGGAGACCTGGGGGGGGGTGTAAACAAACATGTTTACATCAACAACAAGCTGCACCCTGATTGGTCAGCTTTCTTCAGGTTGGTCTCCTGATTGGTCAGCTGGTTGGTCAGCTGGTACCTAATGGGTCTCCTGATTGGTCTCATGGTTGGTCAGCTGGTACCTAATTGGTCTCCTGGTTGGTCAGCTGGTACCTAATTGGTCTCCTGGTTGGTCAGCTGGTACCTAATTTATCTCCTGATTGGTCAGCTGGTACCTAATTGGTCTCCTGGTTGGTGGGCTGGTACCTAATGGGTCTCCTGATTGGTCTCCTGGTTGGTCAGCTGGTACCTAATTGGTCTCCTGATTGGTCAGCTGGTTGGTCAGCTGGTACCTAATTGGTCTCCTGATTGGTCAGTGGTACCCAATTGATCTCCTGGTTGGTCAGCTGGTACCTAATTGGTCTCCTGATTGGTCAGCTGGTACCTAATTGATCTCCTGATTGGTCAGCTGGTACCTAATTGGTCTCCTGATTGGTCTCCAGGTTGCTCAGCTGGTACCTAATTGGTCTCCTGATTGGTCTCCAGGTTGGTCAGCTGGTACCTAATTGGTATCCTGATTGGTCAGTGGTACCTAATTGGTCTCCTGATTGGTCAGCTGGTACCTAATTGATCTCCTGATTGATCAGCTGGTATCTAATTGGTCTCCTGATTGGTTAGTGGTACCTAATTGGTCTCCTGATTGGTTAATGGTACCTAATTGGTCTCCTGATTGGTCAGCTGATACCTGATTGGTCCGGTGACCCCCTGGGGCCCGCTGAGCTCCGCGGGGGGGACGGGATCCCACTTAAAGTGCAGCCCCCAGTTGAAGCCCCCCCTCACGAGGGGGGAGGGCGAGTAGGAGAGCGTGTCGGCTGAGATGATGTCGATCACGGGGCAGACCACCGTACGATGGTCTCTGAGCAGGGGGGTGAGCAGCGGCTGCAGCCAATCCCTGTTCACCTCGCAGTGAGAGTCCAGGAACACCAGCACCTCACCTGGAGGGGAGGGAACAAGTTGGCATGGATACTAGGGGTGTAACGGTACACGTACCCGTACCGAAATTATTCGGTACGGGCCCTTCGGTTCGGTACAGGTGTGTACCGAAGTGTACCGAACGAATATAACGTTAAACGTAAAAAATTGATACCGTGAACAACTTTTTGGAAGTAATCTCAGGTGCTGCGTCGCAGCATTCAGAGTAATTTGCTCACATTGGGTTCAACGCGTCATAGAGCGAGCAGGTCATTTCATTGGATGAGAGGCATACTATGAGAGCGGGTCAGAGGGATGCGTTCAAATGTAGTCAGTAATTTGGGTTAGGGTTAATGACGAACGCAGATAAAGTTGAGCTAGAAAATCCTCCAGCATCATTGAAGTCTCCGGTTTGGGAACATTTTGGTTTTGCAGTTACGAACAAGGATGACGGACAAAGACAGGTGGACCGAACCAAAGCTGTTTGTCGGCATTGTTCAACTAAAATTGGTTACGCGGCTGGCAATACATCAAACTTGCACACTCTTGAAAAGGCATCACTCGAACGTGAATATCACCGGTACCAAAAGAAAAAAGACTGAAGTGCAAACCCAACTCCCGCTAGCATGTAAGCCTCCACCACTCGCAGAAAGTTCAGACCGAGCCAAAGCTATTACAAACGCCAAATATCCTTATGTTGCCATGTTAGCAAAGCGCTACCTGGCTGTGTCTGCTGCCTCTGTCCCTAGAGAGGGTGTTCTCCACAGCAGGAGACATTGTTAGTGCCAGCAGATCTGCCCTTTCAGCAGCAATGTGGACAAGTTCATTTTTCTTTAAACAACATGAAAATACAATGACAAGCAAGTCCTAATGTCAAACTGGCTGCTTAGGTACAGTACAGTTTCAAATACAGATTATTTCAGTTCATCGAAATGCTGCACCTTAATGTTTATTTTATTATATTTTGTATTTATTTGAGTGAATACATTATTCACAGTTTAATAATAATTAGGGGTGTAACGGTACACGTACCCGTACCGAAATTATTCGGTACGGGCCCTTCGGTTCGGTACAGGTGTGTACCGAAGTGTACCGAACGAATATAACGTTAAACGTAAAAAAATTCAGAACGTGAACAACTTTTTGGAAGTAATCTCAGGTGCTGCGTCGCAGCATTCAGAGTAATTTGGTCACATTGGGTTCAACGCGTCATAGAGCGAGCAAGTCATTTCATTGGATGAGAGGCATACTATGAGAGCTGGTCAGAGGGATGCGTTCAAATGTAGTCAGTAATTTGAGGAACTGTCGAAAATTAATGGCGAACGCAGATAAAGTTGAGCTCGAAAATCCTCCAGCATCATTGAAGTTTCCGGTTTGGGAACATTTTGGTTCCGCAGTTACGTACAAGGATGAAGGACAAAGACAGGTGGACCGAACCAAAGCTGTTTGTCGGCATTGTTCAACTAAAATTGGTTACGCGGCTGGCAATACATCAAACTTGCACACTCTTGAAAAGGCATCACCCGAACGTGAATATCACCGGTACCAAAAGAAAAAAGACTGAAGTGCAAACCCAACTCCCGCTAGCATTTAAGCCTACACCACTCGCAGAGAGTTCAGACCGAGCCAAAGCTATTACAAACGCCATATATCCTTATGTTGCCATGTTAGCAAAGCGCTACCTGGCTGTATCTGCTACCTCTGTCCCTAGCGAGAGGGTGTTCTCCACAGCAGGAGACATTGTTAGTGCCAGCAGATCTGCCCTTTCGGCAAGCAATGTGGACAAGTTAATTTTTCTTTAAAAAAACATGAAAATACAATGACAAGCAAGTCATAATGTCAAACTGGCTGCTTAGGTACAGTACAGTTCAAATACAGATTATTTCAGTTCATCGAAAGCTGCACCTTAATGTTTATTTTATTATATTTTGTATTTATTTGAGTGAATATTCACAGTTTAATAATAATTAAAAACTAGGGCCGGGACTTTAACGCGTTAATTAAGATTAATTAATTACACAAAAATTAACGCGTTAAAAAAATTAACGCATTTTAATCGCACTTATTTTTGCACCGCGGAACGTTTCTCACTGGATGAGTTTCAGGCGTACCGATTATACTGGAGCACCAACTAACGTTCATGACTTCAGACAACAACAAACCACAGTGGGAAATGTTGTTTTAAAAAACGGACGGATGGAAGCGTCGATAAGAGCACGGTTGTGTGCAAATTATGCAAAAAGGAATTCGCATATCACCGCAGCACATCAAGCCTCAAGTATCACCTCAATGCAAAACATATAGCAGCTAGCGTGGAAGCTAGCGTGGACGTTAGCCTCTTTTATCGCGTTCACACCAAAAAGAGCCGGTACTAAAATTAGTTCATGAGAACCTTTTTACCCCCACGAAAGTCCCTGCTAGAGAGCAGAGAGCTGCTAGAGAGCAGGGACTTTCGTGCGGCTCTCTTGTGAGAAAAGAGCTATATTTCTGATTGGCTGGGCGGATTGCAAACCACGCCCCGTAAAACTCCCAAAAAGTTTTGTGAAGCCGCCATTTTATTATCCTCGCATTAGCATTATTAGCATTAGCCCAGCGCAGAAACGCAGAGAGACTAACTTATGGCAACACAAAATAAAACATGGGAGCGGTGGAGATGAGGAGGTGTCGGCGTTCTGGTGATTTACTCGGAAGGCTTCAGTAGAAGCTGCTGGGACTCCCAGCAGCTTCTACTGAAGCCAGTCCCCAACTCCGGGGACTTCCGGCCGGGGATTTTGGGCGGCAGTATACGCCGTGAAGTGGTTTGCGGCCTGCCAGTAAACCCAAAGCAGAAGAAGAATAAGTGACGTCAGCGGCTTCATTTGCCTAATCCACCCCCAGGTTCAAAGAGTTCTCATGAACTAAATTCTCATGAACCTTTGTGGGAAAAGTACTGCGGTGTGAATGCGCCTAATGGTATACTAAAATCCATGTGAAAAAAATTGCTTCTCACTGTTCTTAGGTCAAATATTTATATGTGATTAAAAATGCGATTAATTTCGATTAATTAATTACAAAGCCTCTAATTAATTAGATTAATTTTTTTAATCGAGTCCCGGCCCTATTAAAAACCCAAAACTAATAGTTTATATTTTGTGAGTACTAGTAGCCTACAGTAAAGTTCAAATACAGATTATTTCAGTTCATCGAAATGCTGCACCTTAATGTTTATTTTATTATATTTTGTATTTATTTGAGTGAATATTCACAGTTTAATAATAATTAAAAACCCAAAACTAATAGTTTATATTTTGTGAGTACTAGTAGCCTACAGTAAAGTTCAAATACAGATTATTTCAGTTCATCGAAATGCTGTACCTTAATGTTTATTTTATTATATTTTGTATTTATTTGAGTGAATACATTATTCACAGTTTAATAATAATAAAAAAAAAATATATATATATGTTTTGTTCTGTGAAAAAAAATTCTGCTGTACCGAAAACGTACCGAACCGAACCGTGACTAAAAAACCGAGGTACGTACCGAACCGAAATGTTTGTGAACCGTTACACCCCTAATAATAATATATATATGTTTTGTTTTGTGAAAAAAAATTCTGCTGTACCGAAAACGTACCGAACCGAACCGTGACCAAAAAACCGAGGTACGTACCGAACCGAAATGTTTGGGAATCGTTACACCCCTAATGGATACAGATGTAGGGAGCAAGGATGTAGGTAACGAGGATGTAGGGAACAAGGATATAGGGAACAAGGATGTAGGCAACAAGGATGTAGGGAGCAAGGATGTAGGGAGCAAGGATGTAGGGAGCGAGGATGTAGGGAACAAGTATTTAGGGAACAAGGATGTAGGGAACAAGGATTTAGGTAAGGAAATTACACAGTTTAAGGAGGTAGGAAATACCGGTCGCGTGTGAGGCTCCTATCATGCGTCCTCGGATGAGTCCTTCCCTCCTCTGGTTCCTCACCAGCTTTACTCTCTCCTTCAGCTCCCCCCCCACATGACGCTCCAGCTCCTCCTGCAGCTCCTCTGAACACACACACATTTATATAAGTGTGTATATAAGTGTGTGTATTGTGTGTAGTGTGTATATAAGTGTGTGTAGTGTGTATATAAGTGTGTGTAGTGTGTATATAAGTGTGTGTAGTGTGTATATGAGTGTGTGTAGTGTGTATATAAGTGTGTGTACCCAGCTCGCTGTGGTCGTCCACCAGGATGACCTCGTGCAGCAGGGCGGTCGGGGTGCGTTCCAACACGCTGTGCACCGTCCTCAGCAAGGCGGACAGCGCCTCGTTGAAGAAGCAGATCACTACGCTGGTAGAAGGTAGATCCGGAGGGTAGGCCTTATCACGACACCTGGGGGGGGGGGGGGCATGATCATCACTGAGACCATTCACACCTGCTAACACAACTCTAGCTCTATAGATCCTCTCACTGATCACAGTATCATATAGATCCTCACTGGGGGGTCTACCTGAGGACCCCCCCCCCCCCCCTCACTGATCACAGTATCATATAGATCCTCACTGGGGGTCTCTGGTGTCCGGCAGCTCTCTGTGAGACCCCAGTCTGGTGGAGATCAGGACGTTGAAGGCGTGTCGATGGTAACCCGAGTCCCTGAGCTCCTGATCAGCCTCGTTAAAGATCATCCCTACACACACACACATAGTCACACACAGTCACACACACACAGTCACACACAGACACACACACAGTCACACACACATAGTCACACACACACATAGTCACACACACAGTCACACACACAGTCACACACACATAGTCACACACACACATAGTCACACACACAGTCTCACAAACAGTCACACACACACAGTCACATACACACAGTCACACACACACACACACACAGTCACACACACACAGTCACACACACATAGTCACACACACACAGTCTCACACACAGTCACACACACACAGTCTCACACACAGTCTCACACACACACAGTCACACACACACACACAGTCACACACACACACACAGTCACACAAACACAGTCACACACACAGTCACACACACACAGTCACACACAGTCAAACGTACACACACAGTCTCACACACACACACACACACACAGTCACACACACACACAGTCACACACATAGTCTCACACACAGTCACACAGTCAAACATACACACACAGTCACACACAGTCTCACACACACAGTCACACACACACAGTCACACACATAGTCTCACACACAGTCACACAGTCAAACATACACACACAGTCACACACACACACAGTCACACACACATACACAGTCACACATTAATACATATAAACGCATTTATAATAAACTTTGTGATTTATAAAATAAACTAAGATTTGCAATCACCCATTTCCGGCGATAGCTCTGCTCCCCGATTGGACGGCTGCAGCCGAGGCCCCGCCCCCCGTGGGGCCAGGTCTCTGGTGATTGACTGGCTGCGGGGCTTCAGGGGGGGCCGTGGCTCCGCCCCTAAAGAGAAGTAGAGCAGCAGCAGCACCGACCAGGTGGCCGAGGACACGAGGCAGCCGAGCAGAAAGACCCTCAGCGTGGCCATCGGGAGAGGGGGGCTACATCACACTGTAAACAAGTAAACAACAACATGTAAACAACAATATGTAAACAACAACATGTAAACATTAACATGTGTCTGTGTGGTGCTGGCCATCGGGAGGGGGGGCTACATCACACTGTAATAAATTAGTATACGGCAGGGTGTGTGTGTGTGTGTGTGTGTGTGTGTGTGTGTGTGTGTGTGTGTGTGTGTGTGTGTGTGTGTGTGTGTGTGTGTGTGTGTGTGTGTGTGAGGTGAGCTGCAGTCAGCTGATCAGCTGTTAATCATTCTGCTCTGTTAACAGACCTGACACACACACACACACACACACACACACACACACACACACACACACACAGTGTTGTTATAAACCATGTGTAAACTGTTGTCATTAACAGCTGGTGTTACCGGACTCTGAGTCTCTGTTGCCGGATTAATGGTGTCCGATGATGGAACCCGCTAGCTTAGCCGAGCTATGGTTTATCGGGATCACAGTAGCTATATCTCTGTCTAACTGTGAAGCTACTCACGGTGCAGGAGGTGCTGCAGCAGCTGGGTCCAGCGGGGTGGGGTGGGTACCGAGGGGTACGGAGCTTATTATACATCCATGGTACCGACTCTCTGGAGAAGAACCGCTCTCTGATGCTCCGAGCTCTGCAGAGGAACACAAACACAGCGGCTAACTGCAGCTAACTGCCTCACTTCCGCTCACTGCCTTCACAATAAAACTCATTGCACCAGGGCCGAATTCCAAAGTACACCCTTCAACATGTTTTGATTAAAATACTGCGGTCAAGCCAGCGGGGTCAAGCACGTTGTTTTGCGGTGCGCGAATATCCTCTGCATTACGGTAGAGGCCTGGAGAAACTGCCTTCAAAATAAAAGCGCTTACTCGATCAATAACAAATGTACCTAAAAAACATACCAAACATATTCATAAATACTGGAGCTTAAATTAAGAAATATGTACTATATAATGTGATCAATAATAATTTAAAACAAACTAGGTATAACCATAGATATATATCTATGGGTACTACCACATTATAACTGAGTGAATGTAAAACTTAAGGATACAGTTATGAAGACATACCTGACCAGGGCCCGTCCCTGGCCAACATGATGATGAGGCCCCCTCCGCAAGGTGAAGCCCCACGCAGTCTGCATGATCGGCCTGTAGGGAGGTACGGCCCTGTACCATTACATTCATTATTAAAATGTCCCTTTTCCACTGGGGACTCATTTCAATCTCACAACACTCCTAAATAGCATGACTTTCTGAAGCACTATTTAAAAATGTATACTGGTTAAAATCTCAAATTACATCTATTGTCCGTCTATATTTAGATTATTGAATGGAAACTGTCCATAATCAAAGTCATTTGAAGTCAATCAAAGACTAATATCACTTCAGGGTGGTAGCAGGAGACCCTTCTAGTCCCTCAGAGAGAATCAGGACATCTGATGCAGAGTTTCTGTTTTATAGTGATTAAATACACATTATAGTGATTAAATCAATCAATCAATGTTTATTTTTATAGCCCAATATCACAAATGTTACATTTGTCTCAGTGGACTTTACAGTTTGTACAAAATATCAGTATGACAATATGACACCCTCTGTCCTTAGACCCTCACATCGTACAAGGAAACACTTCCGGAGAAAACCCACAGTTTAAAGGGAAAAATGGGAGAAACCTCAGGGAGAGCAACAGAGGAGGGATCCCTCTCCCAGGACGGACAGACGTGCAATAGATGCCGTGTGTAAATTGAAAAGATAATACATTTGCAACATAGGTAGTCCAAATGTTTGGAAATGCATGTGTGTATAATAGTAAGATGAATCCACGAGGATATCCATCCAGGACCTATGATCCAGGACCACAGCCACGACTCAAGATCCAGGGCTCGCGATCCAGGACAGAGGAGCGCAGGATCATCCATGACTCCGGATCCCGGCGTATATAGACACCAAAAAGAAAGACATGTGGGGAAGCTGGGTTAATGGGAACATGAGAGTACACAGGTATAGACAGAGAGAAGGAAGAAGTAAGATGTCCCCCGACAAACTAAGCCTATATCAGCAAAACTATTATTAAATACACATTATAGTGATTAAATACACATTATAGCATGTTATATAGTGATTAAATACACATTATAGCATGTTATATAGTGATTAAATACACATTATATCATGTTAGATAGTGATTAAATACACATTATATTCATGTTGATAGTGATTAAATACACATTATCATGTTAGATAGTGATTAAATACACATTATATCATGTTATATAGTGATTAAATACACATTATATCATGTTATATAGTGATTAAATACACATTATATCATGTTAGATAGTGATTAAATACACATTATATCATGTTAGATAGTGATTAAATACACATTATATCATGGTTTGATAGTGATTAAATACACATTATATCATGTTATATAGTGATTAATACACATTATATCATGTTAGATAGTGATTAAATACACATATATCATGTTTAGATAGTGATTAAATACACATTATATCATGTTATCTAGTGATTAAATACACATTATTTAGCATGTATATAGTGATTAAATACACACTATATCATGTTAGATAGTGACTTAAATACACATTATAGCATGTTAGATAGTGATTAAATACACATTATATCATGTTATATAGTGATTAAATACACATTATATCATGTTATATAGTGATTAAATACACATTATATCCATGTATATAGTGATTAAATACACATTATATCATGTTAGATAGTGATAATACACATTATATCATGTTATGATAGTGATTAAATACACATTATATCCATGTTAGATAGTGATTAAATACACATTATATCATGTTATATAGTGATTAAATACACATATATCATGTATATAGTGATTAATACACATTAGATCATGTTATATAGTGATTAAATACACATTATATCATGTTATATAGTGATTAAATACACATTATATCATGTTTGATAGTGATTAAATACACATTATATCATGTTATATAGTGATTAAATACACATTATATCATGTTATATAGTGATTAAATACACATTATATCATGTTATATAGTGATTAAATACACATTATATCATGTTAGATAGTGATTAAATACACATTATATCATGTTATATAGTGATTAAATACACATTATATCATGTTTGATAGTGATTAAATACACATTATATCATGTTATATAGTGATAACATACACATTATATCATGTTATATAGTGATTAAATACACATTATATTCATGTTAGATAGTGATTAAATACACATTATATCATGTTTATATAGAATGATTAAATACACATTATATCATGTTTGATAGTGATTAAATACACATATATATCATGTTATATAGTGATTAAATACACATTATATCATGTTATAGTAGTGATTAAATACACATTAATCATGTTTAGATAGTGATAAATACACATTAATATGTTTATATAGGTGATTAAATACACATTATATCATGTTATAATAGTGATTAAATACACATTATATCATGTTATATAGTGATTAAATACACATTATATCATGTTATATAGTGATTAAATACACATTATATCATGTTATATAGTGATTAAATACCCATGTATATCATGTAGATAGTGATTAAATAACACATTATATCATGTTAGATAGTGATTAAATACACATTATATCATGTAGATAGTGATTAAATACACATTATATCATGTTAGATAGTGATTACATACAACATTATATCATGTTATGATAGTGATTAATACACATTATATCATGTTATATAGTGATTAAATACACATTATATCATGTTATATAGTGATTAAATACACATTAATCATGTTATATAGTGATTAAATACACAGTATCATGTTATATAGTGATTAAATACACATTATATCATGATATAATAGTGATTAAATACACATTATATCATGTTATATAGTGATTAAATACACATTATATCATGTTATATAGTGATTAAATACACATTATATCATGTTATATAGTGATTAAATACACATTATATCATGTTATATAGTGATTAAATACACATTATATCATGTTAGATAGTGATTAAATACATTATATCATGTTATAGTGATTAAATACACATTATATCATGTTATATAGTGATTAAATACACATTATATCATGTTATATAGTGATTAAATACACATATATCATGTTAGATAGTGATTAATACACATTATATCATGTTATATAGTGATTAAATACACATTATATCATGTTATATAGTGATTAAATACACATTATATCATGTTAGATAGTGATTAAATACACATTATATCATGTTTAGATAGTGATTAAATACACATTATATCATGTTTGATAGTGATTAAATACACATTATATCATGTTATATAGTGATTAAATACACATTATATCATGTTATATAGTGATTAAATACACATTATATCATGTTATATAGTGATTAAATACACATTATATCATGTTATATAGTGATTAAATACACATTATATCATGTTATAGTGATTAAATACACATTATATCATGTTATATAGTGATTAAATACACATTATATCATGTTAGATAGTGATTAAATACACATTATATCATGTTATATAGTGATTAAATACACATTATATCATGTTAGATAGTGATTAAATACACATTATATCATGTTAGATAGTGATTAAATACACATTATATCATGTTAGATAGTGATTAAATACACATTATAGCATGTTAGATAGTGATTAAATACACATTATATCATGTTAGATAGTGATTAAATACACATTATATCATGTTATATAGTGATTAAATACACATTATATCATGTTAGATAGTGATTAAATACACATTATATCATGTTAGATAGTGATTAAATACACATTATATCATGTTATAGTGATTAAATACACATTATATCATGTTATATAGTGATTAAATACACATTATATCATGTTAGATAGTGATTAAATACACATTATATCATGTTAGATAGTGATTAAATACACATTATATCATGTTATATAGTGATTAAATACACATTATATCATGTTATATAGTGATTAAATACACATTATATCATGTTATATAGTGATTAAATACATTATATCATGTTATATAGTGATTAAATACACATTATATCATGTTATATAGTGATTAAATACACATTATATCATGTTTGATAGTGATTAAATACACATTATATCATGTTATATAGTGATTAAATACACATTATAGCATGTTATATAGTGATTAAATACACATTATATCATGTTATATAGTGATTAAATACACATTATATCATGTTATATAGTGATAAATACACATTATATCATGTTATAGTGATTAAATACAATTATATCATGTTATATAGTGATTAAATACACATTATATCATGTTTATAGTGATTAAATACACATTATATCATGTTAGATAGTGATTAAATACACATTATATCATGTTAGATAGTGATTAAATACACATTATATCATGTTAGATAGTGATTAAATACACATTATATCATGTTATATAGTGATTAAATACACATTATATCATGTTATATAGTGATTAAATACACATTATATCATGTTTGATAGTGATTAAATACACATTATATCATGTTATAT